CAAGGTCATGACACTCACAGGGAGAGCAGGAGACTTAGCTGGACCGCAGTGAGCATGCTGTGCATTTGCGTGACTGCGAGTGATGGTAACACTGCACTTGCTGCCCATCCTCATCACTCTGACTCTTCTAATTTTGGACATTGTCCGAGTGACAAACAAATGGATGTTTGAGAAGAAAAGAGAACTCCCTAAACTCAGAAAATCATTTCAGAATATTGAAAGACATGTATTCTTCAGCTGCAGTCCCGGTTGGGCAGATTAACATGAAAGATTTTATAGGAAAAGAAATGCAGACAAGTGGATGAGGAGGAGATATTTTTGTGACTCTTGATGATAAATTCTTGCCAAACTTGGCTCATAAAGAAATTCTGATGAAGAACAGGCAGCCTGGGTTACAGTGAATCCACATGTCCCGCTTTCATATACACTCGACGGCCCTGGTTTTATAGACATGAACCACTGAAATGCATAGAAACTTTCAGTACAGACTGGCGCAACTATACAGTCAAGGCTCCCAGGCATGTCAGGTGTTCAACGAGTGCCTGTTAAATCAATAAATCAATAAATGAACACAGCTTACATCTAAATGTGGGGAGGCAGAGAGAGTAAGAAAGAAGGGGACTCTTTTATTCAGATCTTGTATTCTATTTTTTTCTTATGATAAATTCTACGTCTAAGAACATTCTGATTTGCTGCTGAACCACAATTTACTAAAAAGCCCTAAGACTAGGGCTTCTGTTTTTAGTTTAGTGTGAACCTGCAGGAAGGCCTTGGTGAGAAGCAGGCACACCCAGAGGTGGTGAAGAACACGAGCTTGGAGTCGAACTGACTGCGTGTAAACCCCAGTCCTGCTACTTGCTGGTATGTGAACCTTGGGCAAGTGACTAAACCCACTCGTGCCTAAATTGCCTTCTCTGTAAACAGGGACAAGGATGACAGTACCTACGTAGGGCTGTCATGAGTATCAGGGGATGCTAACATAATTAAAGACCTTGGCGCACTGTCTGACCCATCATAAGTTCTCAATAAATGTCAGCTGTCACCGTTGTTAAATGCAGGAATGAAACACTGCAGGTGTTTATTAGCACTTGCATTGACTTCCTGGGGCAGCCATAACAAAGTACCAGAAACTGCGTGGCCTAAACAGCAGAAATATATTCTCTCACAGTTACGGTGGCTACAAGTCAAAGATCAAGGTGTCACTAGGGCCACACTCGCTCTGAAGGCTCCTTCCTTGCCTCTTCCAGCTTCTGGGGGCCCCAAGTGTTCCCTGGCTTGTGGCAGCTTCTCTCCAATCCCTGCCTCCATCCCCACATGGTCTTCTTCTCTCTGTGTCTCTCTGTGTCCTCCCCTCTTCTTGTAAGGACACTCCATTGGATTCAGGGCCCACCTTAATCCAGCATCACCTCATCGTAACTTGATTACATCTGTAAAGAACCTATTTCCAAACAAGGTCACATTCTGAGGTTCTGGGTGGACACGAATTTGGAGGAGAGGGGCACTATTCAATCTGTAACTGTGCTCAGCTACAAACATTTAACACAGAAACTGCTGTAGCCACTATAGGTCTGTTATCTTACCTTTTGCTTGAAAACACAGAGGAGACACAGAGGGAGTTTGCTTCTAATTACGTTAACTTCTAGTTAGAAATAAAAATGAGGTTGACGGTCAAAATGTGTTTCTAGGTCTCACTATCCAAGAAGGAATAGGTCTAATTAGAGAAAACTACCTTTGGCATGTCCAGGCAACGACCCATTTGGTCCCCAGTAGGGGTCCCCACTAACCTTGGGGATGCCAGACCCACAGCTATGCCTTCTATGCAGGGGTGTTGCCCTGCTCCCAGAGGCGTCCACAGCCTCAGCCAATGGGCTGCCAAGGAACTGTGCCATGGAACGAGCTGTCCCAGCTGAGTTAAATGACTGCTGGCTGGTGGACATTCTGAGAAGATGGGATGCTGCTCGGTTAGCTGTAGACCTGTGCAGTGACTGGCTAAAAGGTCCAGTTATAGAGTGAGTCTCCAGGAGGCCCTCATGCTCTCTCTAAAACCTAAACTTCTCCCCAGTCAGCATTCCTATTGAATAGCTCTTCCCTGGGAGAGCAAACACCTTAAGTGACAATCAGATCTTTAGAGATCCATTTGAAAAAAAGGCTCGGGGAGGTTTTTGATAAAAGATGAGAGAAGGGCAGAAAGTAGCTTCTCAGATGTACACTCAGCTGGTAGCGGGACTGACTGTAAATGCATCATCTACAGAGCAAAGGAGCATTTTTGATTTACCAATGCAACCAGGTATCTTTCTCTCTGAAGCAAAAGAAAGAGAAAGTGGGAAAGTAAGTAGGAAACATCAGAGCCAGAGCCCTGCGTCGGGTCCCACGCCCGCCCTAGTGCGAGCCTCTCACACGGCCGAGTGTGATACCAGCCTTGTTACTTTCATACAACTTGGCCCCAGCATAGCTGTCCTTGCTCCAGTGCCCATCTGAATAGCGATCACTTTGAACACTTGTGAAAAATGTGCTCTGTAAAACACGTCAAGAGGTGGATTTTTCAACGGTAATTTAATTGTACGCTATTTTCACCTGAGATGCTGCTTCATTCCAAATAGTGTGATAAGACGGTATAATGATCTGGTTAATAACCAGATATTTTCTAACCAGAGACAGTTGACCCTTGAATGCCAGGGGTAAAAACCCTGACTCTTAAAAGAGGTAACCATGAGAAAAAATGAAAGAGGTGACTTCTTACTGTAAAAGATTAGAAAATGGCAAAAAGATAAGAAAAGAAATACTGGTGTTTCCACCCTCTTCCCCAATTAATGACAATTAATGTTTTGATGTATTTTCTTACGGTTTGCTTTCCTCGTGTGTGTGTGATTTTGTAGGGACATGTAAGCAGGCTGTGCATGGTATGTTGGGACCTGGTTCATTCACTTAGTAAAATATTGTGGACATTTTTCTGTGTCTACAAGCACAGACCGATTCTAGCAAAGGAAGGCCCGCAGACGACTTTCATGATCTCACTCTTTGGAGGAGGACACTGGCTGCTCTTTCTCGAGGCTGAGTCGTCTGGCTGCAGCCCACCTGGAGGATGTGGTCACAGGAGCTGCTGCTCTGGAACAGAGGGGCTGCTGGCTGGACGGCTCAGAGGGGAGACCCCAGCGGTGAACGAGCTTGCCTTTGTGCGGGTGAAGCTTCCCCGGACTGCTCTCATCAGCACCACCTTCATCTTCCCCAAGTCAAAAGGACACTTGTCTTGACTCAGAGGATGCCCACAAATACTTTCCAAATATGATTTGTAGTTTCTAATTGTAATTTTTTTGGTTTAAGCCACTAATTGAGACAAATGTGAACTCATCCTGCTAAACAGATACTAAGAGAATATTTAGGGATATTTTGTGTAAACCTTGTGAAATAATGTCAAAGGAAACTCACAGGCTTCCTTTGACTCCATCTCAAACATTCGCAAGGCTGAAGGGTGTATGCCCCTGCCCTTCTGTTTGTGAACATTGCCTGTTAACCCCCAGAGGTTGTGTATGAGCCACTGTACATAACCTAAGTCTCCCAGAGTAAGGAGCTCATGATCTCCTTTAAATGGGTACTCATGCAGTGGGATCTCTCAAGCATTAGAGCTTACTTGATTGCATTCAGACACCACTTTGGCAATGGAATGACTGCATTAAATTAGCATCAAGCACAATGAATGGTAATTGCAAGACTGTCATTTCTACAAGTGCAAAACTAATGTGTTCCAAAAACCCATCCCATTGTGTGCCACTGGAAAACCATGGAACCACGCTGCTGCGAGCAGAGGAATGCTCTGTAATAGCGGTGTTAATGTGCTGTGGGATTATTCAGCAGTGGGTTCCCTCCCACCTTTGTCGTTGTCTCATGCTCATTCCTCAAACCCTGCCTGACCTAATTTGTATGCTCTTAGTATAGCGCTGCCAGACAGTAGCCTGGATGTACAGAGAATGTTATGGAACAATTCCTCCTTCTGGGTGGCATCTTGTGTGAATAATGGCAGCATAAACAACCCTCCATGTATTCATGAGAGTATGAATAGGCTACTTATGTAAAGCTTCTTATAAAAAGATGTACCAACTGTTTACAGGAAACTTTACCCAAATGCTATACATTCATTTAGAAAGAGAAGAGTGATTTACGCGCACTTCAATTGTAGCTTAAGAAGACTGCCAGCTCTCCTCTCTCTATCCTTCTTGTTTACAAGTGGGATGTGAAGCCACAGTCCAGTTGAGTGAATTTCTTCTGGTCACGCAAAATCACAGAGTGTATCCCGAGTGACAACATGCATATGTGTTGGGCTCCCGGAGTCAGCTGATTGGCTCTGCAGAATGTATTAGGGATCATTCAAGACTGAAATAATGCAGCGATAACAGATGCTATCAGCTGACTGGTTAGATGTGGTATCTCAGTGCTCCTGCAGCTTAGTGGAGGCTGAGAACCACCCTAAAGGCGTCCTGTGAAAGAGCAATAAGGAAGACAATGACAATAGCTGGGCAGAGGGGCTTTCATCGTGAGTCCAGCTTGAATCTAGTCTCTTAGCAGCTGAGGGAGGGAGGGAGAGGGCATGAAGACCACCGGGCAGCGTGGACTGAGTCACTGCAGTGATCCATCAGTCCCAGATGGGGTGCTGGCCCCCTCTGATGCCCCTGAGGGGGAGGGTCAGGCCTGAGCCCCCTTTCAATTGCCACTTACTTTGTCCCTCACCATGAAGGCATGATATGGCTATTTGCTTTGTAATGTTCCAGTTATTGCAAAGTTTGCTGGAATCTGGGGGAAGTTCTGCACCACACTCAGAGCTTCCTCATCTTAATGAAAAACAAAGATTAGGCAATGGTTTAGGAAACCTCCTGACTAAGCTGGGAGAATTCTGAACACCTTACCCTCAGAATGAGGTATCCTTGGGGACAGCTGGAAAATCATTAAACAGATGATTTGGGCTTCAAACACGTGAAAAGTGGCTCTGGAAACTGGTTCCGACTTACCTTTGTTGCAAAATGTCCCATCATACGCTGTGTGGGAGCAATCGCAGGAATATCCATGGTACTTCTCTATGCATTTGCCTCCATTCTCACAGTTCGCCCCATAGCTGGTGCAGTGGCCTGAGCACCCAGATTTGAACCCGGACGTGACCTTTGCTCTTTCCTCCAGGTCCAGTGTCACCCCATTCATCCTCAGGGAGCGGATGCAGCCCAGAAAGCCCTGCTGGCCTCCGGCACCACCTGGGAAGACAGAAGGGATGGAGCTCAGACAGAATAACCTCTGCTCTGGCTTCTGTTTCATTCATCACACCTCTGGACCACTGCGGTGGGAGACGAGACCGCCAAGGGCATCTAGCCTTCTCACTTCCAAGCTGGTCCTGCCTGATAGGAAAGCTTGCATCTTTTCTCCCTCAGGCTATACTGCCTGGTTAAAGAAGGCTGTCTTCTGAGAAGCAATATATTTGCTACAGAAATAAACTAAACTAAACTATTTGGAGACACACAAAAATTATACAAGCTGCTTTGGAAGTCTAATCGGGTTTCCTACAGAAATCTCGAAGATCTTTATTTTTTAATCTCACAGCATTCGGTTCCACAGCCTTGTGTAGCGGAAGAAATACGAAAAGGCAGACATGCACATATTATCAAAGTTAACAAGTCAGTTAGTCAGAAGACACACATTCATTTGGAATGTGATTTTAAGTCCTGGTTCTTGTTTTAGGAAACTCTTTGTTTTGAAGTTCATATTAAGGGTTCCCAGGGCTTCTTGTCTGGGGTGGCTGGAAATTGGAATTGATAAATTTACACAGAAGTCAGCTACACCACGGTTATTACCAGGTCAGTTTAGATTTCATTGCCTTTGTCTAAATACCATTTCAAGACTTTTAACACAAAGAACAAGTTCACCGTGATTTTCTGAGTAAGTTACAAAGTTAGACGGAGGGTCATGAGCATGAAAGTATTAAAATATTCCTAACAAATTTCAAAGGATTCACTGGAGAATTACGTCACAAGTGGGTTGTATCTATAATAACATTTTCTATGATTTTTTTTAAGCAGCTGGTACGAAAGGAGGAACTCAAGTCTATATATGTGGCTATATTTTAGAGTAACAACTTTTCTGGAAATTAAATAAAATGAATAGTAGTTAAAATTATTAAAAGAACTGTCTGATGGGAGTTTAGAAAAAATACTGTCAAAAAGTAAAAGTAACTCTTTTATTGAGGACTATTTAGTAGGCACTCTGCCAAACACCTTACATGTGATATCCACCCAATTCTCACAACTGCCGGCGGGGGAGGCATTGTTAACTTACCCCCATTGTACAGATAAGGAAACTGAGGCTTAGAGAAATTGAGTTTCCTCAAGGATTCATAACTCCAAAGTGCCAAAGCAGTGTCAGATCTGTCTTATTCTTGTGCCTATGGTCTTAAAACTCTGTTCTGTGTTGATGCCTGATACAGAAGAGCTTCAGGGTCTGGGGTCCTACAGACGTACGTGTTTTTGATGTACAGGTTTGGATATTTTAAAGGGGACGTGGTCAATAGGACGGCAGACTCTGGGTAAGGTTGCAGGCTGGGGATTGATTCTGATCCCTTATTCTAGTATTCTGAGAAGAAGGATGTGATGTAGAAGACTCATCAGTCCAGGCTGGTGGGTCAAAGGCTTTAGCTGCAGAGATGGAGCAGCATTTGCTTATGCCTGTGAATCCTTAGCCATGAAAAACAAATCATCACTCTATTGCCTCTATAAACCCAAGACATGCAGTTCTTTCACTGGGTACATCGACGTGAATGATGATTCCCCAGGGATTACTATATTGTAAATAAAATATTTCAATAGAGGACTAACTGAAGGGAGTCCAGTGCCCTTTTTGATCAAAGCTACGGGCTAGTAGATGGCAAAAGAAGTTATTAAAAGCAACCATTTTGACAGAGTTCCCATTTTGCAAGCTGCTCATCGGCACCGCTGTACACCTCTGGGCTGAAGAGAATTGGGGCCTTTGCTGTGATTTGGAACAATTTCAATCCATTAATCACTCTTTGTGTGTTAAAATTTCAATTTGGCTTCTATCCTTTTAGCAACTATGGCTTTTGTCCTTGTAATAAGGGCTTTTCAAAGGGCCATTTGTTCAATAAATGCCTCGCCATTTAAATTTTCATCATTAGTCAGTTAAGACAATTATATCCTATCAAAATATGCTGAAATTTTTAAACTGTTGTTTTTAGATGTCACCCTCTCCTTTCCCCTGATGACAAATCTAGTAGTTTTTCATGGTGGAAACCATAAACGTACTGATAAGCAAAATGAAAAAGAGAATCTGTAATGCCACTCAGACAGAACTACTTTTACTTTTAGCAAAGAGCTTCTGTTTTTATCTATGCACATACATATGTGTACAGAAATCAAACAAAGGAAAACGTCGGATTGCTTTGAAATTTGCTTTTTGCACTTAACATATCATAAAACATTTTCCCAGCAATAAATCTTCAACCAGAATGTCTTGTTTCACATCTGCATAGCACCCCATCGTGTGATGCACTGTAACTTATTTTGTCATTCCACTAATATTGAACTTTAAAGCATATTCCAATTCTCATTTTATATGATACTATAATAAATGTCCTTGTAAAAACCTTTACATACTTGTCCAGTTTTTCCTTAGAACTAATTCTTAGAAGAGAAATTGCTGGGTACACAGGCATATACATTTTAAAGTCATTTGCAATACATTTTCCTCTAAGAAGATTTTATCAATTTGTATTTCATCAGTAAGCACCAGTGAGGTACAAGAATCCTGCCTTCTCCCCACCAATTCTAATTCTAGCCAGGATCCTTTTGAATTTATAGGCTGGGGGAAAAAAGAGTTCACTGTTTTCATTTGCATTTCTTCAAACACTGAGTTGAGTACTTTTTAATGTGTTCCTCAGTCTTATTTTTTGTTTCTCCATGTCCTTTGCTTTTTGGGGGGAATAAGTGAGAATATATTTCTTATTGACTGATAACAATATTTGGGGCTTTAATTCTTTGTTATAAATTTGGCAACCACATCCTTCTAGTTTGAGTTTGCTAATTTGCATCTAATGTTTCTTTTTCCCTATGAAAGGTTTCCATGTTTCCGTAGTCACATCTATCCATCTTACTTTTATGATTTCTGCCTTTGGTATTAGGCTTATAAAGACCTTCTCTAATCCAAAATAATACAATTATTCAATTATCTTTTATTTTAGAACTTTCATCATTTTACTTCTTTTAACAGTTTATTCTGTAATCTATTTGGAATGTATTTTAATGTGGAAACAATTCATATTTAAGGGTCTCAGCAATGGTTGAGAATTTGAAGAGATTTTTAAAAGTCTCTGTAAGCAAATGTTAATATGAAAAAAAAATGGAGATTTAAAAAGGGTCAACTGGCAGAGCAAGTCCACCCAGGTTAGACTGTATTTCAATTATATCATTGAGGTAAAGATTTAGATATGTGCATGTCTGCTTCATTATGCGTGTACACAAGCCCTCGTTCAGTTTTTTCTGTCTCTCTGCCTCTCGGTCTTTGATTCTTTCTGGTCTTGTTCTTTCTGAGCTTCTGCACCTGTCAGTCTCTCTTCCTGCCTTTGTGTTTGTGTCTCTCCCCATCAGGACTGTCGACTGCTTTTGGTTAGTTTTGTGACTTTCACCAGATCGCTTCCTCTCTCACAGCATCAGTTTTCGCTACCCATTAAAAAGAGGCTGAACCCGATGTCTCTGGTCCTTCCAGCTCTAAATTACTTTGGTCCACGATATACAACTTCTCCCTCTGGGCTCACGTGTCTCCCTCTCCAGATATCAGCAAATTACTCTCAGTTTCTCCTACATTTCTTCTTGCTTTCTTTCCCCTCTTTGCCCTGCTATCTAATCTTTTCCCCCTCCTTCCCCTAACTGACCATAACATATGACTGTAGTCTAATTTGCATTTTTTGCATTCATTAAACAAAGGTTTGTTCTCCCTCTGCTTAATTGATAAAGGTAACTGGAATGCCATTTCTCTCTATATAAAGGAAAACCAAATAAATTACACTCTTTTTTAAGATGGTCCCTGATTTACTGAATGGGCCAGTGGAAAGTACTTTTACTGATCTAGTCAGTAGATCAGTAAAATGGTCATTATATATTATGCAAAAGATGCTAATGCACTAGAACCAGTGATCATTATTTGAGTTCAGCTTCTGTGCTCTATAGAAATCTTTCTTAGTGTCAAATGTCATAAATTGAAATAGCAGGTCTGCAAGCAAAAATGCTACTTAACCTTCGTTAATTAGAAAATCAACACATTGTCATTGGAGAGAGCCCCCTGCCATGCAAGGGCTTCCCGCACATTAGTCAGACCGGTGATAATTACCCAAGGTGAGGCGTGGGTTTAATTTGTAAATCATTTTTCATGTGAAATGCTATTCAAGTATTGCAATTAAAGGTTAATTATGAAAATGCTGTAACTACCCATAATGAATAATACAACCATCAAAGGCACAGAAGATTGGGGCAAAATAATCAGGTATTAAATTAAACAAAAAGGGTGAAAATAATGATCACAAGGAATTCTAAAAAAACACGCTGTCCTCACACTTGGAGCTGAATAGTTTTCTAAGGAACTAAGTTGGGTTCCAGAGTCCCTGTGTCCAGAGAGACTGGCCACTCATTCACCACAGAAAGCAATCGCACCAAAGCTCACACGCGTGGAATCTAATTTATCCATTTGTAAGTATTTATTTCATGGCTACTATGAGCCAGGCCTTGTCTGGAGGTTGAGAAGGTACTAGAAGGGAAAACACACAAAAGGTTTTGCTTTTGTAGAGCTTACATTCTTGCCGAGGGAGAGAAAAATTTAACAATAAACTCAATAAGTAAGTTAAGTATATCACGTGTTAGGAGTCAGCCTGGGTTCAGTGGGATTGGGAGTGGGGGTGGGGTGGGGAGCAGGTTCTGATTTCAAACAGAGCCCTTGGGATAGACTCCTCCCACTCCCCGCACCACTGAGAAACCGACAGAGTATCCACATGCACATCCCCGGGGAGATAAAGGCAAGGGGCACTGCCCGCCTGGTGGGGGATGGGGGGCTGCCTCCAGATACTCAGAAGAGCAAAGCCACCAATCGGGTCACGTGCATAAGGCGCAAAGAAAGGCACTCCTAAAAAGATGGAGGAGACGTACTTCTTGCCCACAGGTTAACAGAAATAGAATCACAAACAGCCACACTGTGGAGCAGG